AGGCGCGGGCAGACATGGCCCGGGGCATAGGGTGCATCACAATTAAAGCACAGCCCCAAGCGGCGGCGCTCGAGTTGCTCGGCCTGCGCAAGGCGCCGGAAGGGCCGCGTCGCTGTCGGAGTGGTCGCCGGTGTGACGGCTGAAGAAGCGGGCGCGGCCGACAGCGGTCGTGGAGGTACTCGGCCCCCCCGAGGTGCTGCTGGCCGTGTCAAGGCCTGGGCGCGCTGCTCGAACGCCCTAGCGTAGTACATGACCGTCTGGAGGTCCTGGGGCCCCTTCATCTCAACGTCCACGCGGATGTGGTCGGGAAGGCCCCCGACGAAGAGCTCCGCCCACTGGAGTGCCGTCACCCCCGGTGCGTGACACGCCAGAGCCTGGAAGCGATCGGCGAAATCCTGGACCGTGGAGGTGAAGGGTAGACGGCCTAGCTCAGACAAGCGGCTGTCGCGCCGTGGTGGTCCGAAACGAAGGAGACACAGCTCCCGAAAATGATCCCAGGGAGGCATGCCGCCCTCATCCTGCTCGAGCGCGTAGTACCAGGTCTGGGCGGCGCCCCGAAGGTCGTAGGACGCGAGCCAAGTCCGCTCGGACGCCGGTGTCCTCTGCCCCCGGAAGAACTGGTCACACCGGTTTAACCAGTTAAGCGGGTCGTCCGAGCCATCGTAGGTGGCGAAGTCGATCTTCGCGAACCGAGGCGGCTGCTGGTGTGGGGCGCCATGGCCCACTGCCTCGGCGGTGCGGAGAGCTGAGGACGACGCTCGGTCCATGGTGGAGAAGTCGGGATAGTTCCCCGCGGCTCCCGACGCCTCAGGCTGCAACTGGGAACCCGACGGTGGCCGGGCCTCCGGGTAGGCTGGTGGAGAGGACGTCCCGTAGAGCCAGCCTGGCAGCGGAGATAGTGACGATGGAAAGCGGTCCTCCTGGATCGGGAGGCCACCCGGCGAGGGACGGCCCAAGCTAGGGCTGGGCGGTGGCGGTGGTGGTGGCGGCCCCTGCGCGGTGGCCGGCGGGAGGGACGGCGCGGCTGGGGCCGGCGCAGACGGCGCGGTCCAGGTCGGCCACTGCGGCCCCAAGGCGGCGGCGGGCGGCGCCGCAGGCGGCGGTGGCGGCCACTGTGGCCATGGCGGCGTTGATGCCGCCGGTGAGGGGAACACCGGGTAGCCCCCGGTGATGGCCGCAGGTACGGAGTACCACGGCAGGGGCTGCTGGCCCGCGGCGATGGCTGGATGGAGCGGCGGGGGCGGCCCGTACGGGCTGGCCAAGAAGAGACGGATGCCCTGGACCGCGACGACTAAGTCGTTGAGCACGCCGGCCATGGCCTCCGGGGTGAACTGCTGCGGCGCTGGGGGAGGCGACGGCGGGGGTTGTTGGGTTTGCGGCTGGCCCTGGCCCTGATCCGGCGTAGTGCCGGGGGCGGGGGAGATCGGCACCAAGAGGGAGGCCGTGGCGCTCGGCGACGCAGCGGCGGCGTTGGTGGAGTCGGTGGCAGCGGCGGTGGGAGATGCGTTGGGCAGTGGCGGCTGTGGTGGAGGCGGGTTTGGAGGCGAGGACGACATGGTCGTAAGCTAGGTAGCTGATACTAAGGTGTTAGGAGTTAGGGTTTTGCCCTTCCGAGGGCGTAGGCTATAGGGTAAGGAGGGAGGTGGGCGAGGGCTGGAGCGCGGCGGCCGGCGGCGAGGCGCCGTCCTTGCGGTTCGGCGGCGGCGGCGCAAGCGAGATGCGGCTAGGGTTTAGGGTTCCGGCTCCTCTGGGAGCCGGGCAATAGAATAGTCTTATTGCTTCCTTCTCAAAATAGTTTTACAACTAGTATATATAACCACAATCTGAAAATAAACCTAAGATAACTTGGGCCATAAGCCTGCCCAGTGGGCCCACGGCGGCCATAGACCTGGCCGGTCATAACAGAAGCTTCCTGACCGGGTTGGCGCGGGGCGAGGGTCTGTTTGGTGGCGAGCTCTGGAGTGCCTAAGGTGGAGGTTGGGATTGGGAGAAATCCCTGTTGGCTTGGCCGACACCGATGCGGGGCGCTTGTGCCGCCGGACCTTCCTGGAGGGCATCGGGGCTACCATTCCTCTCTCCTCGCCGCGTACCGGGGGAAATCCTTGACAGCAGCGTCGTCATCACCGCGTCCCTTCTTGGAGGTGTTGATTGGTACCGGTACTTCGGAGGCTCGGAGCTTGGTGGGCGATCTCCGGTGGGTGCAGCGGCCACAAGGCTTCTTCGCTTTTTGTCGATCCACCGGTGTTGTCATTTGTTTCTCTTGTATTTTCTCTTTCTTTTCTTTTGGGCGTGACTGTGCTGCTTCCGCCCCAGCACCTATCGTTGGATGGCAAAGGAAGAGGGGAGGCTGGTTCAATATTTTAAATAGCGCGCTACAAAATATAGCGAGGCCCTTCTCTAAATGCTACACAAGTTATAGCGCGCTAATAGCGTGCTATATTTCAAAATAGCGTTTGCAAAAAAAATTAAATATATCTAGAAATAAAGTATTTAAGCAACTAAATTTTTCATAGGAGCAAGCAATATATGTATAAGGGCCAAATCCAGCACATAAAAATAGTAAGTCTCAAACATCAACAACCATAGTTTTAAGAGTCTCTAACACCAACAGCCACCGGGGCAGCCACCTGGGCTTGCTGGTTAGGTCTCGTGGGAGAATCTGATAAAAGGAGTGAGAAAGCTAGTGGTCGTGGGTTGGTTTTGGCCTGCTGGGCCTGCTGGGCTGTGCTTATTTCAGTTTTGCATGATCTGCATGTCATAACGTTACAATGTTACAACGTTATAGCGTGTGTAGCGCGCTAATTACGCGATTAGCGGCGTAGCATCCGATTTTGCAAAAACGTAACGTCTCCCTTTCAAATATGCTATAACCGCGTTATAACGACGAAATAGCGTGCTATTTAAAATATCGCTGGTTGTCTGCCTGGCGAGCCCCGAGCCCCTGGTGGAGATAAGGGCGAGGGCGAGCCGAGGACGAGCAACGCGTCCACGCGCAGGCAGTCCTCGTGCTCCTGCCAGAGCTTGAAAAAATGAGGGTATGCGGGGGTGTACCTGGGTCGCTGACTGTTGGGGCCCGTGGTGACTAGTGGTAGGAGACATTGAGGAGTTGTTGGGTACGCGGGTAAGAAAGGGTTCGGGTGCAATAGATGGGCTACGAGGACGATGGGCTGGCTAGGATCTCTCTCTCTCTCTCTCTCATTTCTCCACTTTCTAATTTTCTTTTATGGAGAAGCCTTGTGGAGAAAGAAAGAAAGAGAGGGATAGTGAGGGAATTTGACAAAGGAGATATTTTTCCTGGAACCAGAAAAATATTGTGGATTTAATAAAAAAAATGGTTAGGGGGATTTGGGAGATGAAAATTCAAATAAGTTCGAATAAAATCCAAACAGTTTGAATTGATAAAGCCATTTCGACGGGGTACAAATGGGATGATATTTTAAAGGGTAACCCTACATAGTTAATTGATTTATGGCAAGAAGTTGGGTATTTATTGTAACTAAAATGTCCTATTTCAAATACAAGAAGCTAAAAGTGGCATAGGGGATTTAGGAAGCTTGCATGGTCTTGAAGAAAGTTGACGATGGCTTTGAAGGAAAATGAACATGAGCTTGGTGCAATTGATCATGACATGAATTTTGAAGTGGAGCATGGGGCAAAATGAAAGTGGTGCAAAGCTAGAAGTAAAATAACATGAGGTTTATGGAAGGATCAAAGAGAAGTAGAAGGAGTTGCAAACACATGAACAAATAAAAGAAAACAATCACAACAAGATTATGGAGATGATGCATGATGCATAATAAAATAAAGCAAACCTCACATAGCACGGAAGTCAAACAAGAACACATAAATGGAAGGTCTTGCTCCTGGGTTGTTATAGCTGCGCCCAAACCACATCAGAACCAGAGGGGAAAATAGAAGTTGCCAATAAACAATAAATCAAGCTTTGATTCATTCTCCCTCATCTAATAATAAGTGTCTCAGATTTAGTAGAACTTCGCAAATCAAGGATTGAGACAGAGGGAGTACTTGTCAATCGGATTCAGGGGAACATCCATCACCAACGCTTGCTTCGTCAGCAAATCTAGGAACGATGCTAGGTTGAAGAAGACGATGACTTTTCTCTTGATGCCTATCTCCATCCCACAGTGCCCGCATCAGTCACAAGTCTTCTCCGAGTTTATCTTCATGTTAGTGCATGGGTCGGTTTTACTGCATCAATCCTGCCCAAGG